GGAAACTGGAATTTACATGCGAGTTCCCACTCTTTGGAAGACAGTAGCTGTCTTCATTGGCAATGCTTTGAAAATCGGAAAAAGCGTTGTAAAGTAGAAGATTTACGCTTTCTGATAGGTGCTCCAGTTGTTTCGAACGCTTTCTAGTTCGCGAGAAATCTGCGTCGAGGAAATGTCAAGGAAATTTTCGAAGCCACTCGAAAACTCTATTACTCCCTCGCCGTAGTAGGGAACTTCTTTGAACACCTTCAAAATGCTTCTGTACACGTCAGTTCGATGGAGTAAATTGAAAATGATGCACTTGGCGCAGATCCATTCCGTTCTTGTATGCGCCATGCAGTGACCCCACTCGGAGTCATTGGGAAGGTGTTTTGTCCTAGTGACGACTTGCTTAATCACACCAAAAGATATTGGCGTTAAAACAGCAGTTAACAAACAAAACAAGTCATTGCCATAACTAATTAGATAACTCTTGTGGTCATAGTGATGTCTGATCACTCCTTTATTCAAATCGCTTCCTTTCCAACCCGTTCTGATGAATGACACGCTTGCGGTTGCAGGATCTGATGATGCCAAGAAGGCTGCGAATCTGCCTGTTTTGAACTTTCTACCAAGATGCTGTTCCTCCACTAAGTTCTCGAAGCATGTGCATCATTCTAGAGTAGATACTCGCTGCCCTTTCCCTACGATTCTTTTGCAGGACGCGTTGCCTTCCTATGCCATACTGATCACTACGAACCAAACCAACAACCACTTGTAAGATGTTATTTGCATTAGGCTAAGTACAACACTTGTGAAACTAATGATGACAGCAAATAAGTGGCAGCAGCACCGTTGTGTCCGTTGATGAACCTTTTGATTACGACCCCCTCCCAACTCTCATCGGAGCAAATACGACCCCCTGTCGAGGATTTCCTCGACCGTTATTCACCCTGGATGCCATACCAGCGACTCAATAGTGGCGGGACCCAACGTTCAAAGGAAGCCCGCCACTTTCAAACAGTGTCCACTGTCACGTGACACTGTTTGAAAGTGGCGGGCTTCCTTTAAACGTTGGGTCCCGCCACTATTGAGTCGCTGGTACCTAGTTCGACTCGCTGGTACATCGTTCGACTCGCTGGTGCAAAGTTCGATTCGCTGGTGCAACGCTCGGATCCAGCGCCGATGTCATAGTTTGCGAATCGAGCGATTCGCTTGCGAATATGACATCGGCCTATAGGCCACATCGCATTCAAACGCCACTACGAATGTACAAATGGAAGTAGAATGCGTGCCGCATCCCAAAAAGGGATTGATCAACGGCAAATGCTTTAGCTTCATCCTTTATTAAACGTCATTGGGCAAGAACGTCAATGAGGCGATCTCAATCACCTCACGCAGCGCGTCATGGGCCGTCATTGAGGGCCAATGACGTTATCAAGATCACATCATCTCCATCAGCCAATCGTAATTGCTGCCTTCAAGCTTCCGTTTGCGAAAATGACGGTGTGAAAACGCTTCCATGTGCAAGTTATAGCAGTACGGTATATTCTTTGAGTGGGCAAACAGCGGGAGTGTATTATGCCCACAATGTTTTCTGAATCCATTTTTCAAGATCCTAACTTCACTTGCTGATCACCGTTTTTCCTACAGAAATTCAAGACTATAAAATGTACATCATTATCGCTCTGCTGCTTCTTCTCATCCTGTTGCTGCTTGCATTGATATCATCCTTCTTAATTGCCAAGCAGATAAAAAAGAGGCATGAATATAACAAAGATGGTTACCCGTATCCTCCGTATCGATTGGAAAAGCCGTCTAAAGAGATTTTGGCAGGATGGGTGAAGGTGAGTCATTATCACAACAGTCTTTGTCACGGAGTCATATTTAGAGGCACGAGTCGTGACCGAATGACAATTTTTTCTTGTTCGAGAATTAGACACGAAGCGCGAAGATTAACGTTAGTGGGGAAAGCAAAAACCATCATTGAGAACGCTGGAATTTCCCTGAGAGCTCGGTCGTGGTAGAGTCGCAACGCTGCGAGGAGAGGGAAAAACGAGAGAGCGCGTCGTACGCGATGGAGCGCTGACGCCACCTATGCTGCGATTGAAAAGAATGGCAGCGGTCGCGGCGGTACTCAAATGGCAGGTCAGAAAGTGATGTGAATTTTCTCAAGTGAGGTCTCATCCACGGAAGTACATCTGATTGTGACTAGCTTCTGAGAAAAAATGAAAAATTTCTTGACAGATCCGAAAATTTTCTTCCAGGAAATTACTAACAAGAACCCATTGATTTGGCGCTGTATGGATAGGCAAGTCATTTGGTCATATCAGAAAGGAGACGGGACACGTAAGTCTTCAGTGCACTATTTTGAAACTGGTTTCTCTTATCAAGTGCAAATAGCACTTAAATCGCTTTCAACCTCTGCCCATGCAGCTGTTGCTTGGCTATGATGGCTTGTAAGAAGGTCCCTCGCTCCATGAGATATAACCGATTCGAGAAATTTAAGCCAGTTGCAATACGTAACCACTGATTGTAGCTGGCAAGTCGTATTGCTGCCCATTGAATGCCTAAACGACAATGGTCACAATCAGTACTTGAGCTACGCAACCAAAAGCTGAGCTGACTCGGTGTGATCGTAACCGCAGTGTCATCTGTAAGCCTTCGGAGTATGAATGCAACCGGTCTTGTAATGAAGCTAGCGCGGAACTTACCACTCCTTTCATTAAGAGCACATTTAGCACTAACCTCAATCAGGCCCCAGATGATGGATTGTGATAGGGGTCGATCACTGATGAAGCGAGTACAAGCGAAATTTCCAAGAACCTTCAGAAGCACATTTTATTGTGATGGCGGAAAATGTGTCCCTCCCCGCTGTTTTCTTACCAGTCCTCGCTGAAAGTATTACAAGCGTAATCTTTCAATCTTCCAACCTTATTGGTCAGTCGATATCCACGTCTTCGTTCACTTGCGCACGAAATATTCCATCCCGGGTAAGTGCGAAATGTCTTTTTAAAGGTAGCATAGTTCTAAACAGAAGACAGCCCGCAAAACTCCACAAAAATCGTGACCCACAGTAAGCAGTTAGTGTTTGCAAGTGTGGAGCCAAAGAAAGCGGTCGCGATAAATTTCACGGGACCAATTAGAAGCTTACACAATGGGTAAGCAAGTAGCATTTTAGAGACGGTGGCTACCGACTCTAAAATGCTACTTGCTTACCCATTGTGTAAGCTTCTAATTGGTCCCGTGAAATTTATCGCGACCGCTTTCTTTGGCTCCACACTTGCAAACACTAACTGCTTACTGTGGGTCACGATTTTTGTGGAGTTTTGCGGGCTGTCTTCTGTTTAGAACTATGCTACCTTTAAAAAGACATTTCGCACTTACCCGGGATGGAATATTTCGTGCGCAAGTGAACGAAGACGTGGATATCGACTGACCAAGTAAGGTTGGAAGATTGAAAGATTACGCTTGTAATACTTTCAGCGAGGACTGGTAAGAAAACAGCGGGGAG